AAAAAAAAAAAATCCAAGAATGAGTGCTCTCCTGAGACTATTAGAAGAGTAATTCGATCTGCTGGATATCACGGTAGAGCAGCCGGGAAAAAATTCTTCGTAAGTGAAAAGAATAGAAAACTCAGACTGGCTTTCGCAAAATCCAACATAAATAAGAATTCTGATTACTGGAATGAAGTTATATTTGCTGATGAGAGTTAAAATATAGTATTTGGTTCTGACGGTAGAATTTTGGTGTGGAGAAAACCCAGGGAAGAATTTCGCAAACAGAACTTGGTGCCAACAGTAAAACATAGTGGAGAAGGAGTTATGGTATAGGGGTGTATGTCGTCCGCTGGAGTTGGTAATCTCGTTTTTATTGGCAGTATAATGGATCAATACAGGTATATTGACATTTTAAATCAAAATTTGAAATCTTCAGCACGAAAACTGAACCTTCATAACGATTTCAAATTCTACCAAGACAATGGCCCCAAGCACACTGCTTTGAACGTTAGACTGGCTGCTGTATAACTATTCTGAAATAATAAAAACACCACCACAATCTCCAGACTTTTAAATCCCATAGAGAATGTTTGGCAAGAATTTCTTCAAAGCAACAATTAAAATCGGTGCTTCAAGAAGAATGGGCTAAAATCGCTCCAGAAATCATAAAAAAAATTAGTCGAATCCATACCAAGAAGATTAAATCATGTTTTAAAAGTAAAAGGAAATCCAACAAAATATTAAAACCATTTAAAAAGTAAAATTTTTGGATAAATATTTGATGAAAAAGTATGTGAGCCATTTTTTGCTTCGTTCTAAACAATTGTATTTTTATTAAATTAATATTTTAATATTTTGAGAATTGTATGTTATGTAATAATTGTTGCTAAATTTAAGTATGAAACACACCGACAAAAAATTTTTACATGTCTTTTTAATTTATTTTACTACAGCTTCCTTTTGTAAAGCACAAGTGTCCCATCACTTTTGTGAGACACTGTATATAATAAATCGGGAAACCACGTGCTTTAGAGATTATTAATTTTATAAATAATTAAACGTGAAACTATATCGGAAAATAAGCTGCATATTCAAGTTAGATCTGTACCAAGGTTTTTAGAAACATCTTCTGTTAACAAGAATTATGTTGCAAGAGTTCATGAATAAGTTGAAATATGAAATCGATAATAAAAGTAATTCCAAATTTGGGCTTCCAGATGCCCATATTCGGGAGGAAACGTAGGGTACTCAAAACTGGATGGTTCGTTGTTTCATCACAATGCGAGAAACTTACATACATTTACGCAGATACTTCATTATTTAATTTCCTTAAATATAATACAACGCGATAATATTACGTGACAACAATTTGAAAAGTGAATCGGGCATTTATAGTGGACCAACACAAAATGCCAAAACGAAAATAATTTTACGTTTTGTGTTTTACCTTTATTATATTAAACATCGTGTTCGTTGCACTTAACCATAAAATTAAGTTCAACAGCAATATCGCAAAATTATTTTTAAAATAGCATTTTTTTAGAATTTTTACACAGTCTCACGGGCTGGAAATAAAAAGTCCCCCCCCCCCTCTCCGTTGTGTTGCCATTGCTCACATGGAAGTCGTTGATTTTGTTAATCAAAAACAAAATACGAAATCGATAACAGAACAAATTTCAAATTCCGAATTAGGGCTTCCAGATGCCCATATGCGGTGGAAGATTATGTTATTCAAAATTCGATGGCTCTAGGTACCGTTGTTTATATCACAATGCGAGAAATATACATGCATTTATGCAGATTCTTCGTTATTTAATTCCTTTAAATGTAACACAGGGCGATAATATTTGGTGGCAACAGTTTAAAAAGTGAACCGACCTTTATAGTGAACCAACCATAATAATAAACTTTAATAAGGCATTATTTAAGACACAATAACACGCGGAACAAATACTAATTCAGAAGCCAAACAACAAACATCAGCGTTATATTTTTAAATTTTCACAGTACTAGTTTCGATTGTTTTACCTAACCACCACCTTCAGCTGCAAAAGTGCAAATGGACATTTTAAACTGTTTGCGCTTTTGCAGCTGAAGATGGTGGTTCGGTAAAACCATCGAAACTAGTCCTGTGAAAATTTGAAAATATAACGCTGATGTTTGTTGTTTGACTTCTGAAGGCATTATTTATTTTCCATTCGCATCTTCTCCCTTTTAATGTCAAACCCGATTAGTATAGAATAATATTCGGGAATGATTATTTTAGATATTTATTGAGGGAGAGGGAAATAAACTATTTTGTTGGTGCAATTGTAGGGTGTCTTCGTTTTTCCGCGGTTGTCAAAATTATTCCAGTTTCCGCGAAATCTCAATCTTCATTACCCAAAGAGGTTATAGTGGGGAGTCAAGGGAAGCTTGGCCTCTCCCGAAAGGTAGAAGAGTGTTTTGTCCCCGATTACACGAGCATTTTCTGTTCATATAAAAGTTATGTCATCATTTGAATAAATGTAATTTATAAATTAAATATTGTAAATAAACATTGTTGAACATAAGCAAAAAACTTGGTGAATTACTACATGTAAATATAATATATATATACCAAAGTAGAAAGACAACATGAACTAGAGAGACCTTAGTGGTCAAGAATTTTGCGCATTGAGCTGCAAAATTTTAAAAACTTTTTTTCGAAGAAGAGGAATGTTTAAGGGGTGTTGGAACTCCAAAAGCTTCAAAAAATTGTGATTTCGGATTTTTGCATTTTCAAATTCTCTACACTTTAATCTTTCTAAAAATACCATTCTTTAATCTCTATGAAAATTAGAACTGTAAAAAAATCTAGTTTTAATTTCTCATCTACTGCTTTGATCAATGAGGATTTTTACATAAAAACGCGTTTTTCTCCAAACGTGATTTTCTTGTACTCGATGTACCTTTTCTCAGGAACTACTGTTCACAGGTATCTAAACTTTTTATGCCTTATTTATTAGGTTCCCTAATATTTACTGAAATGAGCTCTTTGTAATAAACTTAGAAAAAAAAAATTAAAATTTTTTTTGTGTGAGAAAAGTGTTAAATTTTACTATGCCTAACAAAATATTCTGTAATTTACTCTAAAATTCAAAATGCTTCAAAAGCTCATTTCAGTATAATCAGATAGGTATACTATAATTACAGAAAAAAATTCAAGCTTGTACCTACAGTAGAATTTGAGAAAAGGTACATCGAAAATGGCCAGTTTAACATTGTCGGTATAGGGGTCTCTGATACCCCTTAAAACCTAATGCTAAAAATGTACATTTGACACTGTAGTTCCTGAGTAAAAATGTTACATTATGTAACAACCACAAACAGTACTAAAGAAGTAAAAGCTATCGCGTAAAAACTTAATGTAAAAATTACAAAACGAGATAACTTCAAAATCAAAAAGGGATGACCCTTTGAGCGCAATGTTAAATCTAAAAGCGTTCAGATTTTATATGAATATATATATTTTATATTTGTATATATATATTTTATATTTTATAAGTAGATATATATATATTTTCATTTTATTTGTTTAAAATAATACTAAATTCTGCTTCGAAAAGTGTTTTAGATTTGTAAGCAAAGGTTATACGAACTGCTTTCGTTTATTTAAATAAAATAAAATTAATTTTTTAAAGGTTGTTAAAGAATATTTATTTAAAACCGAGAAAGCTGAACAGAAAGTACTCCTGGTGCTTACAAATCAGACAGCGATTGTGATTAGAACTCAAAGTAAGACATTTAAATTTAAACCAAGTAGAAACTAGACAAAAGCTAGGCAGAGATATTTAATATGAAAGTTGGCTGAAGTTTGACCGGAGTGAAGACATTATAACCGCAAGTTTAATGCACTGTCGAAAGCCATGATGACTTGTCTTAGAGACTAGCAATCCAAGCAACGTGGCCTTCCAACAGGCAGAACACGCTCCGTCTGAATCATCTTAAACCTTGCTTAATACACAGGCGACCTAATTTTCATTCTTGGCAGGAAACGGAAATTGAGGAGTGATACTAAATAGTTTTAACATGAAATAACTGGTTCTGTAAAATAAACCTTACAAGTTAGCAAAATGAATCAATTCATGAATAATCAAAAACTTATTCAAACAAACAAATATTGTTAAACATAAACACTAATTTAAGTGCCTTTACGCCGCACACATTTTTTTCCTTTTGGCCCTTTTTAAAAAAATGATTATCATAATATACTATGTGTAAGGTAAATCCTAATTTTGAAACGGTAGTTTTGAGTTCATAGCACTTTCCTGTCTAAGTTCAGCTTAAAATTCCTTACCAGAATGAGGTTTTAGAATAGCCTTGAATGTAAATGAGTAGTAGAGAGTATTTAAGTCAAAGTTCACTGACTTCGAGAGTGGGAGAATTAGGATTCCTGAAAAGAGGGCGTTTGGCTTTTGACTACGTCTCTCTAAGCTGTTAATACGCTCGGTAATATTACGTGCCCTTGTGAGCTAATTTAATATTACGGGCCAACTAGTTTAGAAATTGTGTTAGCTTCGGCTAAATCTTTTTAGTTTGTCATTAGTTAAGTTCTTATATCTTACGTTTTGAGTTCAAGCCTAAGTGGAGGCTTTATTGTACGTCCTGAGAAAGGGGCCATCTGTGAATCTCTATTTTGAGCAACCATGGGTAATTAACCCTTCTTGAGTTTACATTTCTGTTTTTGGACTTCAGCGATTATTTGCTTAGTAGTTCACTAGTTTCCTCAACGTTTAGTTAATATATTTAAAAGGGGGAACATTCATATATACTAAGGAGATTTTAAATAATGCATAAAAACTATTAAAACTGTACCTAAAAAGTCAGTACCAACTTAGGGATTTCATGAGTATTTCGAAAAGAGTTATCTCTCATTCTAACCAAAATAGCTGTCGCTGTTAAATTTCTGTTAGTGTTACAATTGAAATACAATATGCTTTACATCAAATTATTGAATTTTTTACCTATTGTTGTCTTAATATATCTCTTTTTAGGAGAATCTATCATGAAATCTTGGCTTGCTTTATAAGAAGAATGTCCATGGACAAAAGGGAAGCTTTGATTCTTGAAATGTGCGCTATGTTCTTCTGCAGCGGCGAAAGAGATTTGTCTAATTACATTGAGAGTATGTGTTACATATGGAGATCCATTCCGGATGTTTACATTACACTCGAAGAGATAAAACATACGCTTTTTAAGTTCTTGGATATCGAAAATGACGAATTTGTGGAAGAAATATGTCAGGAACTCCAGAGGCGGGGGTTTAACGGCTTTGAAGTCAAACAAGAGACGAATAGCGCTCAGACAAGCGAAGAACCCGAGAGCGAGATAGGCGATTTTTTGTTTGCCGATTCACATTTATCGGAAGAATATGATAGTCCTGACGATCGGCTTAGTGTGCATGATTATTTCGGAGATGCGAAAAGATGTTCAAGTGATTCGAAGTTCCAGCTGCTGGATGAACAATTTTGTACAAATTCACTGCTTTCCAAAAATCCTGACAGCCTTATCTCTCTACCAAGAGGTGTGTTTCTTCCATATAGGTTTACAGATACATACTATTTCCTTCGAGGTGTTTCTTTTAACTTAATTCTTTTCACTAGCGTTGTAAACTCCTTGATTGACCCTGACAAACCCACATTTCAACCGCGCTGCCAGTTTGGCCGTAATCTAAGCAAGGCAGAAGAAGTATTGGCTCTCACTTCACAGCGCTCAGAAGAGCCTGACGATCCCCTTCATGAGCCAAGGAATCCGTTGCAATGCTCTCGAAAAGCGGCCACACATTCTATAACTCAAAATTCACAATCGACAAGAGATATAGAAAATAGAAATTCCCTGTCTTCTCAAGCGCCAAAAAATTATGAGATGTCTAACTTTGAACTAGGAAATTTATCTGAATCACCTGCACACAGAGAACAAGGAACTGGAAAACTTTTATTTAGAATAAAGGATCAAATACACGACTTAAGAGGCCTGATCAGAAAATTGCTGATTCATAAATCCCGATTGACAGAAGATTCTCTCCCTCAAGCAAGACATCTGCCTAAAGGCAAAATCAGAAATTCATCGATTTCCAGTTCAAAGTTACCGAAAAAACACGACAATTTTATAATTCTCCCAAGTCTGTTGCTGGATTCCAGAAGTGCGAGCAGGAGAAATTCACGTGGTTCTCATTTTCAGTTGCCAGATAAAGGATCTCGCATTACCCCTCCAACGAAAGTTCACTTTCACTCAAAAGTGGCAGTGAGGTACGGAGCTACTTATAATTCCTATTTGCCAGAAGAAACTCTTGATCACCCTAATACAAATTATCCGTTTTCTCAGGTGGCAGAAAATTCTGAGATCCCTTTCTCTCGAGCCAAGAACGTAGCCGAATCTCGTATCAGAACTGTAATGGCTCGCATTTGGACCCTACCAGGACTTTGGAGCACTGAACGCCTGCTTGCTCCAAAAGACAAACTCACAACTATGGTCAGAGATTCGCTGATTCGTATTTTGCAGTGGACGGAAGATTCTGCAAATCCATATATTCAAAATTTACAATTACCAGAAGACCCCAACATTCAAAGAAGCAGCCTATTTCTCTGTAACCCAGACGATATGGGAGAAGTACCGAATCACATTTTAACGTTTCCTGACGAGCTCGACGCTATGTATCCAACGGACAACCAATTGTTTCTTTCGTTTACTCGAGAATTGAACAGGAATAATCCACAATGGACAGAAGACCCACTCTTCGACGAAGCCGTTCGAACTATGGAAAATATGGCCCGTCTCGCATACCATCAATGGCTAGATGAATGGCATGCAACCTCTACAGACACTCAGGTTCGAAATTTCGAATTGCCGAAAACGACTGACCATGCCGGCCACCAACCTAGGCGTCTATTACACTATACCCGATGTGTGATCAGGGATGCACTGATTCTCAATTCGCAGCTACCACAAGGGATTACACTTCTCAACTTACCCGAGCGATTGCAATCATATTTAAAACTGGAACTATAAATTTTTCCTTCGTGGTGTAATCTTCATTCGAAAGCGTTTCACACGATGCATTCGCTTTTATAGTTTGTCCAGAAACTTGTTTTGCAACATTGTTACATAGATGTATGCATTTTCTTTTTGTAATAAGATAATACCATTAAATTTTTCAATTTTCAATATGTGCGTCTTTATTACGCTTCCATGCACACACATACACACGCTTGAACCGTTCTCATTCGGAATTCAGTCCTGTGTGGATACATGTACTCTTCCAACAATAAAATCGCAACACCAAGACACATAATCCTTAAGCTTGTGCAAATTGGGGATATTGTACATATTGGTAAGACATACAAATACAGTAGAGTTCCAATTATCTGAATCATCAAAAATTCGGATAATGGGATTTTTTTCTGAAGTAAAGGTTCTTCGTACATTTAGTTAGTTACTCAATGTACCCTATGTTGGAAATGGGAGAAAAAACTATTCATACAGAAAAATAGGTGTTAGTTAATTAAAATGAAAAGGCAACACTTTTACGTACGTACATCTTATACATCTGTACAGTACTTAGAAGTGAGGAACGTCCTTGTTTGCTGAACATCTCGGTCAAAGTAAAATGTTTGACGGACACCGTACTTCCTGTTAAAATTTCTTAGCTAGCCGTTACTTGCTTTGTAGGTTGAATAACCAATCTCCTGAGCTAAGACGTTAGCTTTTTCACAAAGAATCGGACCCGAAATTGGATTTCCCACAGAACGTTGTTGCAAAAACCACTTGAAAACGACATCTTCTAAATTTTTGCTTCTTGCTGCATTCCCCCCCCGGGGGTCGACGTAGAGTACTCTGCGCAGTACTGGCTAGGATCTGTACCTAGGCAGTCTCGGCCACGGGGGTATAACATTTTTGAACTTGGCGGTTCCCGATGGTCCATGGGGTAAGTCTATACTTGCTCTTCATGGGCCGGGAGGTGTAAGTCCTTTCCACCAGGGTAATGGTAGCCAAATAGCAAACCGGACCATTGAGAGTCTGGTCACTGCTGTCCTTGGAATTCCATGTAAAACCTAAGGAGAGGGGCATCCCGTGTACTGCTGGCAGGTAGCCCAAATCAACGGCCAGTCATCGACCCTAAGTTGTCATCGCCCACCCCACCGTGGTCTCGGTCCAGCCGGGACGGTGGTCTTGACTGGTCCGTGTTTAGCGGTGGGCTAGTTGATCGTTGAGCGATCATCAGAGGGTACCATAAAATTGTGTCTCGGGGGTGTGGGACCCTGGGCCCAGCAGGAGTTTTCAATGTCATCGTTGTGTGACGCTTACTGGTTTTAGCAGTTCCCAGAATGTGATTGGGTTCACGAACTGTGGTATAAATCTTAGTTAGTTCTTGCTGCATTGATTTTCTTGAAGAACTTCCATCCTCGTTTTCAAGCAATGGCACGAAGTTTAAAAATGTAAGTTTGTTCGTTTCAATGCCTGAAATCGGTGTTTGCCCAACACTATGTTTGTAGGCTTAATTCTTTTACAGTAATAAAATTTTTAGCCCCTAGCTTTAATCAGCAACATGTAGAAATTCAAGTGGTATAAAATCCTCATTATGAATGCATTTTTTTTTTTTTCAGCCACGTTCAGAAAGCAGAGCTACTTATTTTTACCTACTGCTGGCATGGCCAGACCAAAGACTATCTACGTACACATAACAATACATATTCTTTGCAGAAACTGTGGCTTGTGAGCCGCTGCGTGTACTCTAAACGCACTCGTTGAACCCCCCGGTTGTATTTCAACCTAAGCCTTATTGGTCAGTTTACCATGAGAACATGTCTTTGAATTCTATTATAGCGAAGGGTTGTTTACTTTGTGTTTTATTTTGGATTTTTTGGGTGACTTTGTAGATCGATTAACTTTGCTGTTTATCTGTGGTTAAAATCGTGTCTACATTTTAACTATTTATTTTCCGAGCTGTATTTGTTTTTATATAAACTGAAATTTATATATCATCACGTGAAAATAGATGATACTTTATCGAACCTACCCGATACATTTTCATATCGTATTAAAGGATAGTGTATTCAGACTAAGGGAACTTGTGGATGAAAAATACTGCTGAGGTAAAGACAAGCTGGTTTACTTTATTTCAATATTTAGAAGATATGAAATAATAATTTGATGTTGACACCAAATACTGAATGCAGAAAATGCACTTTATATCCTGTTCCGTTGCTTGCTGGCTATTTATGTTAAAATTTTGAAATTAGTGGTTTTTACTCGTATATTAAATTTTGTAAGTTGTCAGCAATATAAACAAGCAATAATATATCTGAAATAAACTAACTGAAGCTAGAAATATCGTCGTGGTATTACATTTTAGAAGCAAACGCATTCTGAAAGCAGCTGTAAAATTATTGTTTCATTCCTATTGTAATAAATTCCAATCAATTGATATGCTTACTGTTAATTTTAAGCACACCAGAAATCCATCTAACAGTTTATTCAAACGTAAATTTACCTAATTTCTTAATAGCTAAAACATGTGTATTTTCATCAAAACAGTATATGTATATTTATTGCAGGATTGGGTTCACATTTTGTTAGATGAGAATTTGATCACTTGTTCGGTATCAGCAGTTGGAAAGAACTTTCCCTTCAAAAATCGGATGTGCGCACTACATGACTTCCTTGAACGGAATATTAAATTATACGCATTTTTTCCTGCATTTCATTTAAACTTATTGAACTGAATTAAATCTACTCCGTCGACAGCGTATCCTATTGATATATTCTGTTCCTTCGATAGCGCAACAGAATAAATGCACTCTTTAAAATTCACTATATTTATTTATAATAGCGATACTCTGGGGCTAGGTTCAGTTAACAGCGTTACATCTCATTTATTTTATAACTCAGAATGCAAAAAAATTATGTCATCTGAATTACCTAATCGTTGCCACATGTTCCATTTAAATACTAAATGCAGAAAAGAAATTAAACAAGTAAAAAATAAAGTTTTTCACAGACGATTCCACTTCTTTCCTCGAATTTCAGTAGATGTATTTCTCATTCAATTAATTGAGTTCTTACTACGGGGCAAGGCAAAAATAATAAAAACACAAACTATCTTCATTAAAAATTTAAAGATATACAGAAATATAAAACACCGAATACAGTTAAAAAATTAAAGAAAAACAATTTCTGCAATTAAAATTACAGTTTCTAAGCAAAAATAAGCTATTCGGCGAGCGAGCAACAAGTGCAGTTTAAGTTTATTTTCTCTAGATTGACAATAAATCCACTATTCTGCTAAGTTTTAATTGTAAACAAATATGGCTGCAATGGTAAACAAAATTAGGCCTAGCCGAACTTAAACCTCTTTTAAATTGTTGATAATTCTACAACTATAACATTCAGGTTAATTAAAAGCATAAAAAACTTAACCGGCAGATAAGAACAACACAGTCCAATTATTTTTAAAGAAAAAAATGTCCAACTTACAAACGTATAAGAATAAAGAAGTTCAGCTCACGGAGACGAGTAACAGAATGGATATATATATATATATATATATATATACTATTAGTGCTATGGATTGCAACCAGAATAGGAGATTGCAACCATAACATGTAGATGCAGTCCTGCATACAAAACATGCAGTTTTGCATACAAAATTTCAACCTTCTGAGGCTACTCGTTCTTGAGTTATGCGATATATACATACGTATGTAGGTACAGACGCTACGAAAAAAATCCCTTCAGAATTGATTTTAATTCAGTTTTATAATTTTTTGGAGATAAAGAGTCCTTTATTCTGTGCTTACGTACAGATGTCGCGCAAAAACATCGTTTAATTGCATTCGATAGCGGTCAAAATGGGTATTTTCGTTGAAATATGATGCGTGAAATCTTTCGCGATTACAATACTTCGTACAAGGAAATAAAAATGGGCGCATTTGAACTGACACAGCTCTAACGGAATAGAACCCACAATACTATGAGGCAAAATACAGGTTCTATACAACACAAAAAAAAAGGAGAATACAGGCTGTCCACCAGTAATGGAGACCAGAATTAAATGGTAAGTAAGAAAATATACCAACTTCTTATTCTATGCATATAGAATAACTTCCAATAGAAATTAAGGCTTGATTCACATAAGTCTAAGAACATTTTAATGTTAATATCTTCTCTACATATAATAAAAGAAAGAGTCTGTCTGTGTGTGTGTGCCTTTCGTTCGCGCTGCGCGTAAGCTAATAGACCCACGGCTACGAAACTCGGTACATAGGTGCATCTAGACAAGAGCCAGTGCCCCTCGAAGCGACTTTTTCGAATTCGAATTTTTTTTATTTTATGTTTTGTAACGAAATCGCGTCGTTTTGAGACATAATGGGATATAGGAAAGCGAGATTTTACTCTACGCACTCCATTTTCACATCGTCATGGAAAGTAGGCACTTAGCTATTTTACGAACTTAAAATAAATTTCGCGTTTCAATAAATCAATTAATAGTAGATAAAATCAGGTTTTCTTATTACCTTGTGATTATCTGCACTTCTACCGAAAAGTATTTATGAGACAACTCACCATGTTGTCAAAAAGTATTTATGTATCAATTTGGATATGTGCACAGCAGCCACCCCCCTCGCCAAGCTATCAATTTCTACTACAGCTATATTTGCAGATTGTGATCTCCCCAGTGGATATTTCAATGTTTCAGCATAGTGGTAGACTGCATTGCCGCAGTTTTCATTGTCTTTGGTGAAATCTTGGACTTGGATATGTGCATGCATGGCTGAAAAAAATGACAAGTGTGCGTCTTGTATGGAGAAAAAAAAAAAAAAAAAAAATTGTAAAGTAAACAGACATTTATAGCGAATCAACGCAAAATGCCAAAAAGAAATTAATAATCTTTCTGGACAAACTGTCTCTTTGGACTTTAAACATGAAAGCTGTCCGATTTTGCATTACGCCGTTTTTTTTACCGTTTTGCTTGTTACTTTTATTCATGTTCTTCGCCATAAACCATAAAATTCAATTTAACAGTTATATCGCAAAATAATTTTAAAATGAAAGTATTTTTAGAATTTACGATACACAGTCTCGCGCGCTGGAGATATTCCCCCAACCCGTACAGTGTAGCCCGCTTTGAAATCGTTGAGTTTGTTAATCGAAATTTCGTTAAAGTG